TACTGGAGCATCAGTTTCGCTAACAGCAAGCAGAGATAAAAACAACAAACGTGAGTAAAATGAAATTGTTTAACTTCTAACAGGGAACGGACAATCACAATTGATGAAGTGTGTAATTGCCATAAACTGTGTAAAAAAGGCCATCTATATGAGACAGATGTGGCATGTGATGAAAGGTAGTTCTAAAAATCCCTCAATGGGGTCGTTATCGAGTGGTGTGGCTCAGTGGGGTTGTGAGCTGATCTTCGGATCAGGGGAGCACAAACCCTCCTGGAGTCTGCATGTGTTGTACCTGTACAAGACTCTCATGTGGGGATTGCCCATAGTATTGAGTGTATGGAAGTCGCTTTGGATACTAATAAGTGACATTGAATGTAATGTAAAGATGTACAGTAGGCTACAGGTGACTCTCTAAACTTTAAATATTATTTAAAAAACAGTATTATGGCTTTGAAAATAATACATTAGCACGAAAGATGGATCATTCACTTTAAAGGAGTTGCACAGATCTTCGTGGGCTAATGGCACCAGTCATAGAGGTCAAGAGGATGAACACCATTTCAAACAGGTTGTTGGTCGTGTGTGTTTTATTGAACAGCCGACATTCAGCTGCTGGTTAAAGGGTTAAATAATAAGGACTACATTGTATTTCTGCTCATGTTTAATATTGTGTGTCAGGTGTCTGGGCAGCTACATTTTGCATCAAACAAGAGCATTAGACAGCCTCCTTTCCCAGATCCAATGTATATTATGAAGCATTTTATAAAAAAATAGACATCTCTCAGAAAGCTGAAAGACAAAACTTGCTCTAAATGTTTTGAATATTTTTCACATGTCACTGCCATTTCCCTTTTCTTTCTGCTTTATATGAACCACACTCAACCAGGTCAAGAACCGCATGCACCACATCAAACCCAGTTACTCAGACCTCCTGTTGAGTTTGCGCTGTTATTTCTTTGTTTTTTCTCGACACTGTGTAGACCAGTGGCGGTTGGTCAATGCGGGGCACTGGGGCGCTGCCCCCTCTCATAATATCTCAAGAAGAAAGTTAAACTTGATAAACATAAATTATTATATATAAAATATTATGAAATAAACGTGTTTCCTGCATCGCAGTTTGCAGGGGGGGGGGGGGGGGGGTAGCGTCTCGCAGCGTCTCGCAGCGTCTCGCAGCGTCTCGCAGCGGAGAAACTGTGACGCCGCGCTGGGACGACTGGGACTGTGACGGCTGCTAGTGGAGCCTCGCAGCAACTCTGCTTTCTGCACCACAATCGGATGCTGCTGAATTGGGACTACTAAATGAGTGAGACTCAAATATCAGAAGTTCAGAACAAGTTTTAGTAGTTTTTATTTTATTTTTACTTCATTTACTTTACACAGGGTCACAGAGAGGAACAAAGTTTTAAGATGTTGAAAAGTTCATTAAACATAAAAAGGCATTTCAAAGAAGTTGTGTTATTCTACATTTTGACACTAAGATTTTCTGATTTCACTACAAATGTATATCGGTTCCAAATATCGGTTATCGGTCTCCTTGATTACTAATAATCGGTATCGTTATCGGCCTTGAAAAAGCCATATCGGTCGATCCCTATTTTATTGGCCGCGAATCGGTATTGTTCTGATGATCTTTGACCTGATGTGATGGACCATGACGCTGTCTTTTATGTCCACCCGCCATTAGTATTCTGGATGATATTGTCATGGCAAATTCAAGTGCGGATGCAGAAAATCCAGTTTTTTCTTTACAAAAACACCCTTTCACGAGGCATCCACTGTAAGAAAAAAAGAGAATAATGGAGCTTGATATTAGCCCTAAAACAAAACAGAAGACGGAAACGCTTATTGTATTGAGATTGAGCTCTGGAACACAATTGTATTTCGTTTTTTAAGTTTCCTCGTTGTTTGGGGAGTGTCCATGCACACTATTTTAAATATGTAAAACCAGTATTTCTTGCATTTCCACAACAAAGAACACCAATTAACAAAACGTTCTCGCTATGTAATGAATCATGGGTGAATGATTTAGAGTTATCAGGAGTGGACTAACTTTAGTTAAAACCTGAGGCTAGCTTGATTTGTTTTTACATTAAAGGCTAATAATGGATGTTTTCCTCTCTTTTCTCCCTAGATGTCTTTTGTTTGCTATGATTCCCTAAACATCCGCTCTGTGGATCAGCTGTACATTGCTGGCACTGAGGAAGGTTACATGTATTGGGGGACTGGTACACCTCCGTTCTGCAATTCCAGCTCCCCTCCTCTACCCTCCGGCTGCGTGGTGTGTATTTACCAGTCCATACATGCTGTCTGCGGTGATCTGCTGAAAAATAAAACGCTGGTGATGGAGGGAAGTGGAAAACACATCAAGCTGATAAAGAGTGGTAAGTTTAACTCACGTTTTATTACTCTTTCTCAAACTCATACAATACAATAACAATTCAGAAAATCTGAGATGAAGTCAGTCTTCATGATGGCTCCAAAGCGTTGTACAGTCGATTAATTCCAATGAAAGTATTTATGTTAAGTTATGTCTGACCCCTTACTTGATGCTTCTGTAGTTTTCTGTCTGTGGCTTCACCTCAGCTGACACCATTCACTAACCCTGACCTAATTGACCTATATGGATAAATAACTGAACAGGGAAACAGACCCCAGGGTGTTCACCTTACTTCACCTTCAAGATATCCTGCAAATACAAATGTACCAACCAGGAAGAAACTCAAAATCACTACAAAGAGACAGACATTACAATTTAGAAGGAATAAAAAAATGACCACAAAGAGACAAAAAGCAACAACGAAGGGACACATTGATTACGAGAAGACAACAAATAACTACAAAGACACTGACAAAGGACTACAAAAGGGACTTAAAATGACCACAAACAGATAAATACATCTTTAAACAAGGAGCAAGACAACCATAAAGAGACACAAAACAATATAAGCAACTACAGAGACACACATTGACAAACTGAAGAAAAGGTGACTCAGATGAGTCACTTTCCTGAATGTGTAGCAGTGTGGGCACGCTTTCATTTATAACGGCTAACAGTCATGTGTGTTTCATTACAGTGTGCCCCACCCTTCTTGGCAACGGTGAGTGTTTTTTAAATCTCTTAATCATTGTGATAAATAACATCACAGTGGAAAGTGTTGGGAAGTTTAATCTAAGACTGACTGACTCTTTTCCTTCTTACAGCCACAAATGAATACACTGACCTGTCTGGAAATAACGCGGGTAAGCTAAATAAAGGTTCAAATGTGTGAACTAAATCAAGGAAGACCAATACAGACTAAAGGGATAGTATAGATTGAACATTACACCCATATGATACTGTTATTACACCCATATTACACCCCTACTGCACCGGTATTACAACATTGTTACGCCAATGCTATTATACCCATGTCCTACTAATATTACACCCATATAACACTGTTCATTAGACCCATAATACATCTATGTAACACCAATATTACACCGATACGACACATTATTACATTGTTATTACACCCAAATGACACTGTTATTAAACCCACATCACACATTAATACCCTCCTATTACACCCTTGTTACACCCATGTTATACCCATATTACACTGTTATTAGACCCACATTACATATTAATACATTCCTATTACACCCATATTACATTATTATTACACCCATGTTAAACCCATATTAAACTGTTATTAGACATGCTATTTTTACACCCATACAACACATGGACACAGCCTGTCAAAAGACAGACATAAAAGAACAGGGGTTGGATTATATATGTTTGTACTTTTGTAAAAATGCCATTTTTATCATGAGAATGAGTACGTTTACCTTTTTATATTTTTGAAGTATATTTATTTTGTAGTTCTGCACTTCCATGTTCCACTTGAGTGAGAATCTGTGTCCCTCTGTTTTATTTGATCTGTTATGAGTTACAGTAAGGACAGAATCAAACCAACCCATTTCCCATCTCACTGCTGCTGTCTGTTTCTGACAGGTGCTTCCTGTTGGCTGCTTCCTGTTGGCATCATCTTCCTCATCTTAGTCATTGCCAGCATCGCTGTGGTTTGTGGCAGAAAATACTGGACAAAGAGACGGTCAGTATAGTTGTACCACAGCAGATTTTGTGTAGTTAGCAAATATGTTTCCTGATTTGTCCAAAATAACAATATTTTTGGGGCAACACGCTCAAGCTCTGTCCCCACATTTTTATAAATATTACACATTATTATTCTTTTTTTTAAGCTTGTGATGTATCGCCATGAAATAAATATGAATGAACTTGAGCATTGAAACTCTCCTGTGTTTCCAGGCGGGAAACCCTTAAGCAAATAGAAGAAAAAGAAGTAAAAGAAGAAGAGTTGGAAGCCCTCGCTGACATGGCAGCATGAAGGAAACTGAGATCCACTGACATCCTTGCACACATGATTTCTAAATTAATTACATTTAGATAAATTCCAAAGATATGCCACAATTAGCACTTTAGCTCTATTTTATACCGACAATAAATGTGAATCTAAAAATAAGTGGACTTTTGAGTGTGTGATATTTTATAGATCTACTGTGACTGATTATGTCAAAAAAACATTTAAATGTTTTTCTTTGATAGACACATCTTTAACTTTTCCTTTATTTATTTTGTTAGCACCTACCCTGGGGAAAAAAGTAAAAGCAGAAATATCTCATTGTAAATACTCCTTTATTTGATCCACTTTAAAAGGCTGAGAAGTAATAAAGTTCAAAAATGGTCTGAAAAATATCAAAGTAAGAGTAGTCATAAGCGTTATCATTCTATTAACATATGTATATGTAGATGATAATAATGCATTGTCTTTTCTAAGCTGATCATATGTTTTATATCAAGAAAATCAATCTGCAAAATAATGCATGATTTTGTGTGTAATTGAAAAATGTAGTGTGGTTGACTTTACGATCAGTAAGTCTTTGCACATTGATTTTTGAGACAAAGTTAATTTACTTTCAAAGAAATACAATTGAGAAGTTAAAAATCACTTTTATTAGCATACAACATTTGCATTAGGCCATAAAGATAAACTGTAGGCAACATCATTTCATGGTTAATAATTCTGACAACAAAACATTATTTTGTATTAAACATACCCCAAAACCTTTATGTAAAACACACACAAAATCATTTCACTTGAGTATTGGGGAGTTGTCATTTTAAAATGGTAACTTAAATTAACAGTTTACATCATTTAACTGTATCAATAGTTCTCTGTCTTTCAAGCTGCATTCATTATGTGTTTAATGTGATTAGATCAATGGGACTGCCATTGAAAGGAGGTCCCTCCTTGTGATGAACCCATAACCGTGCAGCTTTACAGAGCTCTTTAACTCCTTTTAGTTTTACTCAACAACAGTTTTGATAAATGATCAATTATTCATTTTCCTATATTAAGCAAAATATTCCAAACATTTGCTGTGTGATTATATATGATGGCAAACTTTATATCTTTACGTTTTTGACTTTTTATCTGTTATCAGATAACAAAGTTGTCACAGTTTTTGTTTTTTAACGTGCTTTTTCTTCACCTCAAAAACACTTAATGCAGCTTTAAGTAGCAGAAACTCAAAATAAAAGAGGATATAAAAGTAACAGATTCAACCCTTTAGGATATAACAGTAAAGATGTTAAAAAACGTGATGCCGATTACCAGTTAAACCCAAGTCCAGGAGCCCCGAGAGCATTCAACTGACATCTGCACAAACTCCACGCTTGTACGTTCATTTGAGTCTTTGTATCAAACATTGAACTCTTCTGCACAGGAACTTTCAGATAATATATATATTATATATATGTATATAGTATAAATTATTATAAATAAATCTCCCATCTTACACAGAAGGAAGATCAGTAACACTATCAATCAGTAATAGCTCTGACAGTCCACATTATGGTACTGTCAGATAACCTGAGTGAAAAATATCTCCCTTATTTTGTTCCAAATCCCTTATTTGTCACCATGGATCAGATTTTGGGTTTGAAGCATGTTTTGACTGTTGCAGTAGATGGAGCTGAAAGCCCTGACACACCAAGCCAACCTTTGGTTAATGGGGACTGTTATCGGCTACTGTTGGGCTTTATGGCTGACCACCACGGTTATGTACAGGGTTTGTGGTTGTATAGTATTTAAACTCATCTACATCCAGGATAAAGAATTCATTTCTTTACCCCAGAAAATGGATCTGGAGAATACTTGAAGTTGATATTTAAGTGGGGGATTCTAACTAATGGAATTGACGTTGTGTTGGGAAGCTAAAAAAAGTTGTGCTTGATTCCCCCGTGAAAAGGATGGCCAAGCACAGTGGTTTACTCATAAATGGAGGATAATGCAAAGGCTTAGTGGCTTCCTGATTATTCAGCAAAAGGCTTTACACACTACATAAAAAAACATAACATTGTGAATAAAATGTATCAATTTAACCTATTATAATCAATCTAAATGTATGTTGACTTTTGTCAAGCTTGTAAATGATGATTAAATCACAATTATTGTAATTATGCAGTTGTCTGACAACCGTAACAGAAACATATGTAAATGATGATGACTATATGTGTATTGGAAGAAAAGATTTAGCCTTTTTTCTTTTGTTCAAGTGCTTCACTGTAGACAGAAGCCTCTGCCAAAACAACCTGTACTTTTTGGTGGCATCAGTTCTTTGACGTCAGCTTGGTGTGTCAGGGCACTAAATCTGTTAATGAGAGCTATAAAACAGCATCTAGAAAATATTCTATGAGGCAAAGCTCAAACCAGACCAGCTCCTTTACATAATCAACGACTCAATCTCGCAAACCTTTGTTAACGCAGCAAGATTGGAGTCTGGAAAACGTGATTCTGCAACATAACAGCCTATTTTTCCAGCCTCTAATATATTCAGAAGCTGGCTTTTCTGGAAAGTTTTGGGAGATATCTGGTAGTTCCAGAACTGCAGCCTCCTTCTTCCAGCTTAATCACTGGATGCAAAGACCGACAGTGTATTTTAAAGCATTTGACGTCCACATTGTCCCGTAGGCATGAGAAAATGTATCACACAAGCTTAACAGTAGTCGGATACAAATGATCAAAACTACCGAGATAAGTGTGAATGTCATAGAGAAGGTGCTGATGAGGAAGTGAAAGCTTGTGCTTTACTTTCAATGAACTTCACTCATCAATCAAACCTTAACAAGGAGCAGCCAGGTATCCTTAGCGTAGCATAAAGAAACAGCTAGTCTGGCTCTGTCCAAAGTTAATAAAACTTCCCTCAGTTATCCCATTTAATGGCTACAAATGGCTTTTTCGACTGGCCTGTTTACCATTCAATTCTAAATGTGTTGTATCCACAGTTGTATCCATCTTAAACGCTGTAGCTCATTCAAAATTGGATTTTGAAGCAAATCTGACTCCAAAAGCACAATCTTTTACAGAAAACATTTTTTTCAAAAAATAACTTAAATCTTGTTATTTTTCCATGAACCTTTGAGACAGCTAGCTCGTCTCTTTTTGGGCTCCTGGACTTCGGAACAACTTTCATATGCAATGCCTGTAACTTCATCCTTCCTCTCTCTGTTACTTAAAAAAACATTATAATGTAACAAATCCCATATATATAAACATTTCCGGTTAACATTTTGTGTATATGTAGCCCTCTATTGTCTGTAAGGCACTGACCTCATTACATACAGTATGAAAAACAGTGGTCAAATTGAAACTAGAGGTCTGTTTTTATGTTTTAGTTGACGTCCGGAATCTCCACCATGACCTCCTGTTCCTCAATAGAATTCACCACAGGTCGACAAGCTTTTTTCTTTCTGATGTACAAGATCCCAGCCGTGAGGACACCGACACCGACACCGACAACAACAACAACAACAACACCAAGCAGAATTTGCCAGGTCAGATTCTGCTTCGCCACAGGGTTCACTGTAATGAGAAATAGGAAACAGGTCGTTTTATGACAATTTTATTTGACTAAATCATTGTCAATGAGTTCTTAGCAATGCTGGCACCCTGGTTCTCTGGATGGTCTGTCTGTCTCACTACTCTTAGGTCAACATTAGTCTAATATAGCGTTTTCAATCAGTTAAAAAATGTATTGGCGTTAATCACAATCAATTGGTAAACTTGGTAATGTGATTGATTTGCGTTAACGTTCCCGCACTTAGGTTTCTTTTTGGTCATGTTGTGTCTCTTCCTGTTTGCTGTCCCTTTGAGTGACGTGTTGTGAGTGAAGGCAAACCAATTTGTTATTTATGTTTTCTCCCCTCTTTGTTAAACTCACAGTTGGGATTAAATATGTGGTACATTAACCTGGCTTAATGAAACATTTATGTAGACCATGGGCGTCGCAGCCATTATATGAGGGTGGGACAAGTCCCCCCCACCTTTTAAAATGATTAGTTTAGACCCCCCCCACCTTTACTATGCGGAAAGTCCGTGCATCGGTCTATCCACTCACCGCTCTTTGTAGAGCGCTGTGTCAGAGCTTCATTATCAAATCCATTCCACTTGCTTATTGTGAGAATGCCCAAATCAATAAAACTCCGTACCATGTTTTCACTGCTACTTTGTACCAAGGCAGATTCTTAGAGCCGTACACGAGCCGTACACATGCTGCGTGGTTTGTGTAGCTGTGTCTTTAGTTGTAAAATCATTTCCACGCTGCGAGGCTCCGGCGCTAACAGTTCACGAGCGTGCTCCACTAGCACCCGGATATAAGGCGCTGCTATTAAAGAGGTGGAGGGAGAGTCCTCTCCTGTCAGACTGAGGGGCTGATAACTACAGCTCAGTGAGGTAAAGGACTCTCTGAGAGGTGGAGGGAGAGTCCTCTCCTGTCAGACTGAGAGGCTGATAACTACAGCTCAGTGAGGTAAAGGACTCTCTGAGAGGTGAAGGGAGAGTCCTCTCCTGTCAGACTGAGGGGCTGATAACTACAGCTCAGTGAGGTAAAGGACTCTCTGAGAGGTGGAGGGAGAGTCCTCTCCTGTCAGACTGAGAGGCTGATAACTACAGCTCAGTGAGGTAAAGGACTCTCTGAGAGTTTAGATAGTTAACTTTAGTCTAAGTAGTGGGTCTCAAACGGTTTGGTAATCATTTATGTAAAGTATTTCCAAGGCACACCTTCATATGATCATTATAGTTATAAAAAGAGAATAACAGGTATGAAATAATTCCAACTCATACTATAGGACAGTAACACAAAAATACAGTTTAAAAGGGGAGTGATTTGTAAAATATGCATAAAGAAAAAGTAAATCTGTTTACAGTTCTGTTTCACATGGGTGTTGAGAGATGTATCCATAGATTTAGTCCCTAACTTTGCTCTCAAAGTGCACCAGATTGACGCATTTAACTTCAACATTTAAAAAAAAATCTTCCCAGGGCAACATACCCCCGGACCCCCCTAGAGGAGGTGAGGTCCACCACCTGCCCACACCCCACGTCAAATTGTCCCACCCACATTGAGGATGCTTCCTACGCCCCTGATGTAGACACTTGAATAATTATAACCAGATACTTGATCATTTTTAAGAACCTAAAGAAGATATAGAAATTAGCAAACAAATACCATACTTAAGCTATTACATAATAATATAATAGTATTAATATTCTATCACCTTGATACTGTAAAGTGTTAACATATATTACAACTCAATAGTAATAACTACTGTCTTAATCTGTTCAGAACTGTTACATCTTTAATCGGTTATTGTAATGTGAAAACCCCCATATCTCCTGCTGTCCCACAGTCAGGTTCAGAAAACAGGTTTTGCAACATTGTCTGATGAATACAAATTGAATACAAAATGAATTCCTTCAGATGCTGTAAGAAAAACTAACTGCTTACTGATAATCAAACAAACAATACAATACAACTTTATTTATATAGCACTTTAAAACCTTCAGACCAAAGTGCTGTACAGAGAGATAAGCTCACACAACATAATATAAATACATTTAAAATACAAGATACAAACACAAAACAAACCAGAATAAACGTAATAATAAAAAAAAAAAATAACAGCCATATAATAAAAACAATAGACCACTGAAAGCAAATAAAAGCAACAATCTACTTGTTTCCGAATGCTAAGGGGAAGAGGTGGGTTTTAAGACGGGATTTAAAAACAGACAGTGTGGGAGCCTGTCTGATTAACAAGGGAAGGTCGTTCCACAGTTTAGGGGCGGCAGCAGAGAAAGCACGGCCCCCTCTGCACTTAGACTTTGTTTTTGGCACCCTCAGGAGCAACTGATCAGCTGACCTGAGAGTGCGAGTTGGCGTGTAGCTGTGTAACAGCTCAGAGAGGTAGGGCGGGGCCAGGCCATTGAGGGCTTTAAAAGTAAATAAAAGAGTTTTAAAATGAATCCTCAAATGAACGGGCAGCCAGTGGAGTGAAGATAAAATGGGGGGAATGTGCTCGTATTTGCGTGTGCCAGTTAGTAGCCGTGCTGCTGCATTTTGCACCATCTGCAGGCGAGCAAGTGAGGACGCACTTATCCCCATATATAGGGCATTACAATAATCCAAGCGGGAGGTGACGAAGGCATGGATTACCGTTGGATTACCAACAAGAGTGTGGCATTCTTTATTCTCGTCCACTGTGCTTCTTACAATTGACACTTTGTGGGTGAACAACTGAACAAATCTAAAAGATACAGGAAGTCTCTTTTTTGAAATGTAGCTAGAAGGTAGACCACATATGATTTCCTTTGCAATATATTTGCTCTTACTCTATTTTATGTATCTGTATTTTATTGCTCTTTATTAAAGCTACATTTGTTTGTTTTGCTCTCTATGGTAGTTTTCTTCTCTGCTTAATTTCTAGGAGACAGGGCTGTTATACATGTTTCAAATGAAAGAAATGTAAACTGCTGTCAGCAGACCATTAAGTGGTGTTAACACACGCAAAGCAATGGTCCTATAATGACAAAGTTGAGTGTATCTGTCGAGACGTGTTAACTCACCTGGGATTGGTTGAGAGGCCTGAGGATCTGAGATAGGGCTGCTGCAGGTGTCTGAAAAAAAAACAGTATATGTATTTCTAAAAGAGTAAAAACTCATAGAAGAAGATGAATTTTCCTTTCTCCAGACAGATACTCCTATAAAAACAGGGGGATGGAAAATAACTTGTTAAAATCTTTAGTATTTCTCTATATTCCTTTGAACCCTTCAGTCTACTCTTTGTCTCTTTTAGCCTTTGATAATGTCAGTCTGCTTGAACCTTTGCTCTCAAAGTATAAAACAAAATGACATGGATTTTTAAAGGAGCCTTCTATAAACTGAAATGACAAACTTTTCAATAGCAGTTAAAAAGCGGAGTATCAGTGTAGGTTATGAAAGCTCAGTGGTGTTTGAGTTTTTCCAACTTTATTTGAACCTCCCACATAATGAGTAGAAAGAGTCTTTGACAGTTACAGGAGGGGGGCGGTTTACAAATACTCACATTCAAATATGTTTTTCACATTAAAGTTTCGCAACATCAATGCGATACTTACATGTGCAGTGGGCTCTCTCGTAGGTCTAAAGGAAGAAGGAGATACACAGAGAAGGACATAATTAGAACTAGTAAATATTCAACAGATGTTAACAACTGTGTACAAACACAATGCTAACATTCCGCAAAGATCTTCAGGTTAACATAACCGCTGCTTTGGATTTGTAGTCAGTTACTTAAAAATGTAACAGATTAAATTATTATGCGTTTTTTCAGGATTTGTTCTGTACAGAGACAGGAAGTGCACACTAAGATTTTCAAGTGTGAGATTGCAAAACATGTGGTCATCGCTTGTTGCTGCTTTTTAGAATAATAATGAGCTAAACACTTTTAGGGGCGTCAACTGTTGGTCAAACAAAACATATATTTAAATATGTCACCTTGAGGTCTTAGAAATAATGTTCGGCATTTTTAGCTTATTTCTAAACATTTTCCAGATAAAAAAGGGAAAAAAGCATGCATCTTTTGGCCATAAAAAACACGAGAAATAGCAGAATTTGCATTAAAAAAAACACCTATTAGAAGAAAAACGATTTGGCCTATATCAGACAAAAAACTTTTGAAGTATTTTATATAATATAGTTTAATTTAATATTTTGTGCTCATACATTTTTTGTGGGCTTTCATTTTTTAAGAGGAGTTTTGGTAAGGACTATTTATCATCTACACGTAGTCGGGGACAACAGGTGAGCTCTTTTAGCCGCACTAAAATAATACAAATATGCAAAAAACCTGACAAAATGTACTTTTACTTTAAGCTATCACCGTCATCCGGTCAACATTTTGAATGTGTCTAATACTATGCGTTTATGACTAAATACATGCAGAAATAATGACATTCCCATCAGCCTCAGATTAAACTTGGTGTTTAATCACGAAATATAAAATAAATAGATGAAATATAACTAATACGATACATTTTTCAAATGTTGTTGGGATAAAAAAATGTGGATTTGGTAACATGTTCCCCTATATAAATGCTATCATATAAGCCGGGTAAAAGTTGCTTGTTATAGTTTTACTGAATTATGTATGTATTTTCTCATGTGCTATAAAATGCAGTAACCGGTAAATTCAAGTAGAAGTATAAACTCTTGAGAGATGATCCAAAAATACAAAGTGCAGGAAATTTGATTTGAGAAAATGTGTGTTACTCACCAGTCTGTTGTCACCAGTCTGTTGTCTGGAGTCTGTTGAATTCGTATTTGACTGAAGAAACATGCAGAAGAAAACAGTAAAATGTCAGATAAAATTATGGATATTTATTTTTGGATTTAAGACCAACTGGTTTAATATAAAACAATGCATTATATATATTGTTTTTGAGTGTGTGTGTGATTCCATGTGTTTATTTTCAGGTAAGTGCAAATGGAGCCAACAGCAGCATGTCAGAGATGAACCTGGAAGAGGTTGCTATGGGACGTGATGCATAATGAGGCCATGTGTGAAATGTTGGGTTGATTTGTCAAATAGTGCTGTCACAATGTAAGATTTTCTTATTATTGTTTCTGATAACTGGTGACACAATAACGCTGGATATTATCAGGATATCTACAGACAATCTTTAAGTCTGTTTTTATAGTGCAATTTGGCTCTTTTTTGGTCAAATTATGTATACTTATATTACAAATGAATAAAGGTGAAGAGAGAGAGAGTCTGTTGCATTATATTTTCTAAACTTATCCTATTTTTATTTAAAAAATAGCATCTACACCATTGTTTAAAATGTTGGAATTTGCTGTTATACAATGTTTTGCTTCTTTCACTCAATAACAACTGTTTAACTGTATAATTCTGACACTAATTGTGAAAAACAAGAATAAAACTTGAATCATTTTACTCCAGTTCAGAGGTGTTTCAGTGTCGACAACTATTCGTTGAACCTCCCACATCATATGCCTAGATTGTAGGGGAACTCTTCATATGTGACATTACAGACATAGAAATATCTTAAACTCCCTATGTGCTCATGCCATGTGACTTTAACACATCTGAAATGTGTTCAATATACTCCCATCTATGATTTGAACTGTGACTTTAAATATAGTCTTAAGTGAATGTACTTACACTACAGGTGCTTGCATAGTTAATGTTGTCGTGGCATAGTTTCGAGGTGAGGGACTGGTTCGTCAGGCTCTGGACTTTATTTTTATCGTAGTCCTGTTTCCGGGCGAGGACTCCTCCCTGGGAAATAAAAACACAGACAGCCGGGTTCAATAAGACGTCAGATTAACTAATAAAGCACAAGTAGATTTTTTATCTTTTGAATGACAGTTCATACAACTATTGCACTACTGTAACAACATTTTGTCTTTTTTTACAAAAAAGAGTGTCCTCTCTTATAAAAGAGTGTAGATTATGCAGATTCTTTGGATTTCAAAAGCATCTGGTTAAAATCATTGCGCCCATATAAATGTAATATTCAGTCCCCCTCAATTGTTTTATGTACTGTGGATGGTAAGGGTTACAGTTCTAAGGCATGTTTTGCTTGCAAAAAACAGATTTCACTACAAAAGTGTTCCACACGGATCTGAAAGTGTGGAACGACTCCCCCTTTTTTTTAAGGACAGCAAACATACTGGTTTAGTTCAAATGAACATGGTAAACATTATAACTGCAAAACAATAAAATGTTAGATTTGTCATTGTGAGCATGCTGATGTTAGCATTTAGCTGTAAGCAATGCTGCTTGCATGGCCTAAAGCAATGTTATTTCACTCCCGCAGCTGTGAAGTAAAAACTTCTTTGCAGCAATGTTGAGCCAATCATGAAATGAGTGAAACTGGATTCGCCTGTCAATACACTGATATTTATTGAGAGCCTGAGCGGCCGGAGAGTTCACAGCATATTACAGTTCCCTGCAAGACACCAGCCAACTCTGCCCCAAAAGCGCCAAGCACCCATCTATACATGGAGAAGAGGAGGGCCCTAAAACACGCGGGTTTTCCTTTACTGCATGCCAGATGTCGAGACAAAGACTCGTTGCATTGTAAACCCACATGAGCCAAGCTTCTCCCCCACAAGACATCAGATGACCTCTTGACCTGTGTCTTCCTGAGAAGCTATGGATCACATTACAGGCAGGAATACACTTCAACCATATTAAACAGATTCCCGAGGACAAATTACTAAACTCTATATACTTTAACAAGACCAAAATATTCCTTTACAGCAGCGACTACCAGAGAGCTGAAATCTCATGTTATCTCTAGTTTCATTGACAGTTGCAAGCAGGGCCGCCTTAATGCACGGGCTGACCTGGGCTGAAGCCCAGGGGCCTACGGAGATCAGGGGCCTATCATGAGCCAATACAATTTTTTTTTTTTAAATAAACAAAGTCTTGGCTTTCAGAATATGACACTTTTATTTCCAAAATCACAGGATAAATACATTTTTGAAGCTTGTAAAGGGAAGATGACAGCTCTCACTCGCCACCCTGCACTTCCGCAGCGCCACCCCCCCTCCCTCCGGCTGAAATTATGAATGTAAGGCATACAGTAATCATAGATAACACGGCAGGGTCCGTTACAGTTTGTTTTCATCTGATTTCAAATAAACAAAGTCTTGGCTTTCAGAATATTAAACTTGTTTCAGCAAATTCAGATGATAAATACAACTTTGAAGCTTCGGCATAATTACAAGCGGAGAACGGAGTAACTTGACGTTACAGCAGGCATAACAACAGCCGGTGTTTCTCGTGAGTGTTTCCCCGGGAAACAAACACAATACACACAAACACAAAAATACACAAACACACACACACACACACACACACACACACACACACACACACACACACACACACGCACTGTACTTTCTTTGACTGCCGGATATACTTTTTAGATTACCACATTGTTGTTGATTGTTCAGCCGTTGCAAATGTTCCCAACAAAGACGTTATTTCCTCCTTTCGCACACACACGTGAGCTTCCCCCAGACCAGTAATCCAAACGAAAATATCTTCCCTCCGTAGTAGGGTGAATTGCCCTAATGTGGGACATTTTTTGCATTTCAGACCTCTGGAATATATTGCGATATGAAGCCGATACAATAAATCAAAATCCAGTACCATTCTGAAATCCCCAGGATGTGTCCTAATCAAACCAAAAGAGAAAATGCAGATATTACACTCATAAAAGAAATGGTAGACATATCAGTACTCTTAGTGCCAAGTTGTCTCAGACAATCTGCATTTCCTAATGTGGGACAGTTCTGTGCAAAATGTGGGACACTGAAAAGTCTATGTTAAAAAGCCTCAGTCACCTTAATTCATGTAATAAAAACATCTCAGGCCAGTAACACTCAAAGCTAAATGTGCAATACCATGTTCAGCTATGTTACTATTTATAATAGATGTTTTTCTTTAAATTGAAGTTAAAAGCATCAATCTGGTGCACTTTGAGGGCAACATTAAGAGATTTATGGATACAGCTCTCAACACTCATATGAAACAGAACTGTATATATTTCAATAATCCAAAAACCATTAGAATATGCTCACAGCCAATAACAAATCATTGATAAACTCCTCTCTCCTATCTTTATCTTAGTCTGCATTCTTTCTTTTTTTATTTATGCATATTCGACTAATCACTCCCCTTTTAAACTGTGTTTTTTTTTTTTTTACTGACCTATAGCACATATTGGAATGATTTCTTAACTTAGGCTATTTTTTACAATGTGTGTTGGAAGGATTTATTAAATGACTATGAATATTTGGGCTTAAATTAATGCCATCTTTTAAACTCCGACATTTATCCATAACATTATCCCTGACTTTGTCATACCATTTTAACAGAGATGCAGCCACCCCCAATTTTTTAATATAATTTGCCCATCACCTTAAATATCTAAAATAATGCATTAGAAGACTAAAACCCTGTAAATAACCATTGCTCTTGCCAGAGACGTGCACACATAGACTCTAGGTCAGGCATCCTCAAACTACGGACTCCGGTCCGGATCCGGACCGAACCACCACTGTCTCCGGACTCTGAGCAAATTATACTTTCCATATGTATTATCTCTCTGTATTATATGTGAGACATCGCCACAACGCATTCGCAACGAGTCAAAATTCTCCGCTATGTCCACTGCAAACAGCGCTCTGCATGTCTGACTGTTCCACTCATGGCCGTATCCACCATTGAGGTCACCGAGGTCCGGACCTCGGTAATATTTTCCGAGCTGTGTATAACAAAACTTGTGAAATAATTGCACTAAACGGGGTTCTTTGTAGTACTTCCAATTACTGCCGATGGGGGCGCTGCATAACTACGTAGCCTCGATTAAAGCAAACAGAAGAAGACGACATGTATCAACAAACCACCGCAGCCCGGACTTGTATCGGATCAGCGGAGGAGTGATGAGGTATCTAGAGATCTGAGTCCAGCGGGCTGCTTGTGTTTCTGTTCATCAGGACATCATATGACCAGCAGATCCTGTGTGAACGCTCTACGTTAGTCAGTGGACGTCCGACAACATGCACACTAACTTATATTGCAACTACAGGCTATACTTTGGTTTAAATTGCGTGAATAAACTAGCTAGAGAGCTACAGTTAATTACATTCATCCAATGTCAGAAGGATTACCTTTTAACAAACGTTGCAATGCTTTTCTTTCATTTCAATTTGAGTAAAACATTGAAGATATAACATTGTATTGTTTTCTTTTTACACTGACTCAGATATAATGAAGAGACTACGTCAGTCGAAGCTCAGCTTTGGTAAGGAAGAGAGAGAGAGAGAGAAAGTGATGGTAGTCAGGGAGGAACTGCAGGTACAGTCACACAAAATAATGTATGCTTAATAACCCTATCTATTTATCTATCTGGTTTATCTATAACAATAGTCTTCATTTACAATAGGCATCATTTTTAAACAACATACATCTATTGCAGTTATGATGTCATAATAACATACAATTGTATAAAACACAATTTGCTTACATCTTTGTTCTCTTTTGAGAATCAAACAAAACAGATTTAAATAAAACAAAAAGTGCAAACAAACAAGTGAAATGAACTAAACTGCTGAATTGCTTTTAATTCACTGGCAGGAGCGACAAGTGAGGAGAAGCAAAAAGTAAACAACGAGGGAGAGATTGAACAAAGAGAAAGAGTAGAGGACAGAGAGAGTAATGAACAGGAAGAAGACAGAGAGACTCAAGAAGATGGAAGAGAGGCTGCAGGTTATAGAAAGGAGAGAGACATGGAAAATGAATGTTGACAATGTGTTGTGATCATTTTAGCCTCTTCTGCATGTCCAGATCATTAATAGTAACAATCAACTGATTCTTATGCATTACACTTTCAAAAATAATTGATGCTGACATTGTCAGCCCACTGACATGGTTTGAAATCAATATATTATCCAATGTGGGACCCCCCACAGGACTTAAAAAGCACCTAACTAGATCATGAAAATCCCAAAAATCTCGGGGGGTATCCCCCGAACCCCCCTAACATGTTTGGACCTCGGTATTTAGGAAATCCTGGATACGGCCCTGGTTCCACTGTGTTCCACCTGTGTGTGTCAACGCTTTGGTCCAATCACATTCAGCATCCAGTCAGCGTTTTTCCCCCCCAAACAATCTGCGAATCAGAGGCACAGTAGGAAGGGTCTTCGCGGACTGCGGGTGGGAAAAATGTGTGTGTCTCTTTCAACCTGTCTAAGTCAGAGCGAGAATTAAAAAAAAATAATTCAGAGCGAGAGTTAACAGCTCATCTAGTTCCATCTGTACTGTAGCTAGTAGCCTAGTTTCACCTACTGGGGTGGCAACTGACACCCTAAAAATAGGCCTTGCCACTCCAGTTGGCAGCTTTGTTTTGAAAGAAAAGTTGTGGCTCATCGGACATTTATGAGAGAAAGTCTCTAATGTCCGAGTGCAAGTGAATGCAGCACAAGATGCACGTCATTTAACCCCTCCCCCGGTCCTGGCGCGAGCGTGGACATACGATTGGCGGCCATTTCATTTTGAACTGGACGGCGCAAAACGAGAAGCATTCTGACCCAAGCGCTGAAGGAATGAGGTATTTGCGGTCTACACTGACAGAGAAGAGACTGTCAGTTTGACTGTACTCAGCATTGAATCAAAACGCACTAAAGCTGTTGATCTTAATACGTTTGTGAGGCGTTTTGCTGAACAAGATGGTAATCGCCGCATTCAGCTGTAATAGACATGCCAACTTGATGCTCTGCTCACGGATGAGCATACACAACTATTAAGATGATGACCTTACGTGTGTAAATATATTGTTTTCTTTGAGGGGGTCTGCCCCCAAAAAACAGTTTTAAGTCCTGAGAAAGTCAAATCAGACGGTTTGTAAAACTACACTGCCCAGCCAACAGAAAGTAACCACTTTGATTGAACTAGGCCAGTAGGTAAGGGCATTCCACTGGATAATAACTGCAGTATAAAAGAATGTATGACTGAAGTGATGGAGACCATGATGAAGGCAAACAAAAAGAGGAAATAACAGGTCAAATCAAGCAAATCCCCCTCTCAGATTCCACAGCAACCAGAAGAACATAAATACTGGCTGGTGATTTGATTCATCAGCTTTGTGATGGAATAAAAAATGCACAGTGCATTTCCTTAGCTGTGGGTGAGTCCACTGACACCACTGACAATGCTCAGTTGCTGGTGTTTGTGAGTTTTTATGATGAGGCAAAGGGGGAGTTTGTTGAAGATGTGTTGGGCCTGACGAACCTCAGTGGACACACAAGGGGGAATACATTTATAAAGCAATAATGGGAATGCTGAATGAAAGAGGGTGCAGCTGCCTTTATTCATAACTGTGCAGCTCTTACACTGCGACTCTGAGGGGTCAAGCACAGACACAATAACAATGAAAACTGCTGCATACAGATTATTTTTGTTTTTGCAACCTCGTGTTAAGAATCTTGTTGCAATTGTTTAAAAGTTTGAATGACCGTAATAAACGGACCTTTGTCTTATTGAAACATTTATTTTGGACCTTTAAGATTTGTATTTGAGTACCCCTGCTCTAGGTAGTGCTTGAGCACCTGCCCGTGTTGCCCTCTTGACAGCAATGTGCCCTTTTGAAAGTTCGTTTTTTACAGTTTTTTTAAATTAATTTTTTACAGTGTACTGTATGTGGCTCATGGTAACATCGATCAATTCTGGATTAAAAGCTTCTAATATACAACAATGCCCCAAATGCGCGTTGTAATTTTGTCAGACATCCCCACACGTGCCCCGCGGCACTCCCGTACGTGCTCTGGCTGCAGCCCCTCCCTTCCCTGCTCTCAAAGTGAGAGCTGACAGTCAGTCAGTCAGTCAGACAGGCCACGGCGGGTGTGTGGTGCAGCAGCACGCAGCAACACGATTAAAAGTGCCCTAGTGACGACCAAGTAAGTAACCACCAGGTAACAAATACAATGAGTGTATTGTTTAATCCCCTAAATCAGATGCCAAACTAAACTATACGGGGTTCGTACGGTCATTGAAAACCTGGAAAAGTCATGGAAATTCAAAATGCAAATTCCAGGCCCTGGAAAAGTTATGGAAAACAATATTTTTCCCAAAGTTTTGGAAAAGTCATGGAAATGTACCTAAAGTTGCGTCAAATATAATTTACATTTGATCTAATCGCCGAAATAATCTGCGGTCGCGAGCTGTTATGTGCCATCATGACGCGCATGGTGTTATTTTTTAATATATGAAGCGCGAGCTGTGTGCTCGAGTCTTCTTGCCTGTCGGGCCGGCTGAACTCTGCTGCTCCGGGATGAGGGTCAGCTACATTATCTACGGTGTGTTCGTTAACTGTGCGGAGTCACTGTGGCACAGACTGAGCCGCTGGTGAACAGCTGTTAGAATGGGCCGTTCAGGTGTTCAGAGCAGAGCAGCAGAGCGTGATGTGAACTGAAAAGTTTTTCTGTCGCAATATCATTGTCACTATCTGCTAACGTTAGCTTTAGCCTTCATTTTCTAATAGTTTTTTTCATAGGCTATAAACAGAGGTGGTATAAGTATAGAGATTGTAGGCTACTAGAGTAAAAGTAGAAGTATACTCAGATCTTGTAGTCTACTTTAGTAGAAGTACTCAGATCTTGTACTTAATAAACGTAGAAGTACTCAGATCTTGTACTTGAGTAAAAGTAGAAGTACTCAGATCTTGTACTTGAGTAAAAGTAGAAGTAGGCTACTCAGATCTTGTACTTGAGTAAAAGTAGAAGTACCAGAGTGTAGGAATACTCTGTTACAGTAAAAGTCCTGCATTCAAAATGTTCCTCAAGTGAAAGTAGAAAAGTATTATAAAAATACTAAGAGGCATGAAAATACATTTTCAAAATGCTCAACAGTGCTGCCAAAATTATAAACTGACTGCTACACAATTAAAATAAATGCTTTTATATATTTCTATTAGATGTAACTCTTTGGCGTTTCTGTTATTATTACCTGCTGCTTTAGTTGTTCTGACTGCTAAAATCCTCTATTATTCCTAATTTTAAAGCCGATATTCCGTGGGGTCGGGGGGCTCGGGTCCTTGTCACCTTTTTCATACTTGATGAGTTTGCATCCCTGACTACAGTTGCTTTAGCGTGTAGAAGCTAGTAAGCCTACTATTTGATTTGTTTTAGATAGGCATCTGCATCAGACAGCATATGGTTATTGAAATAAATATATATGCAATTACGACATACAAGATGTGCCTTTAATAAATCTCACACTACTAAGGCAGCCGGCGGTTCCACCAGGGGCGTCAATCCCGGGGGGGGGGGATTTCGTCCCCCCCTTAGCTTCAGATTGGACCCCCCTAAGTCATTTAGAATAATACAAATAAATGTTAAAATAATAAAAAAATTGATAATAAATCAGTAAAATCAGGCAAAAATAAGAATTAAATAACATAACCCTAACCTAACCCTAAAACCGAAATAAAGTAACCAAAAACCGAAAAGAAACTAACAAAATCCGAATTTTTGCGCACAATTTCGGAGCGCACAATTTCGGCGCGACCGCCACGACGACTCAGAAGGTGCCCTTTTTTTTCTCTTGAGCACCTGCCCCTATAAATGTCTGTGCACGCCACTGGGCCTCTTGCACAACCCATGCCCCTTTTAGACCTGTCCCACATTAGGCAAATCATACTGTCCCACTTTGCGAAACATGTTTCCTAAAGTGGGACGATGGAACATTTGATTGAAATAAAAAATATAGAGTATATTTACACCATATTATAATATGTTCTGATGAACAAACATATCATAAACACATCCTGATAAAAACTTGCAAGATTGTTTTATTTATACGAAATGTAAAACCTTAACATTACATTTGTCAAAACACTATGTCACTGACCTTTGGGTGGTCTTCACACAGGGTACTTCCTGTTTGAAGGTTTTCCCACCCTCATCTGTGATTGGACATTTGAGAAGTCATGTGATTTTGATTGCATGACATCACAGCTTGTGTTTACCCATAGTTTAATTGACTCTCATTTGTTTGCGGAAGACCTACACCCATTTGAGCTTAGGTGTCCCACATTAGGGCAACTCACCCTACTTTGATCATTTGCTCCGCTAATCAATCAGATCGATGGATTCCAGAGATTTTTCTCAAAAATGATGACTCCGTAACAGTCAGTGGGCACCACTTAACAGCCAATCAGAATGAGAATATGTTTCACATGTGACTTATTCAAATTGCGAGTGATTGAGTGACGGATGAAGGTTGTTTAGGAGAAAATGTCGGAGAAGAAAAAGTTTGAGAGTGGCGCTCGGAAAAGGAAATTGTTGAGGGAAAAGGAGTTTCGAGACAAGCAGCTATTACAAAACATGCCGAAGCTTACAGGTTATTTTAAACCTGTAGGCCGGGATGAGGAGGAAGGAGGACAGATGAGTTCTGTACCGAGCGGCAGCGGTGCCGGCCGCGGGGCCTTGGAGCCAAGTAGGCCGCCTGGTTCTGATAGCGATGGAGTAGCTGGAGTAGCGGGAGAGGAAAAACAGACAGGAGGGACATTATCTGTTGGAGGAGATGGGAGGACGAGGAGGACTTGCTACGTGGGGAGCCAACGGCAACCGGACAGATACATGAGGGAGGCCCGATACGTCACTCATCTGGAGGAGAGGACCAGGCGCACGTAGAGCAGAGTGGAGAAGTGCGATCACAGAGCCTGCCGAGGCTATAAATGACTTTGATTTGTTGTTTAAATAGGGGGCCTACAAAACCTATCAGCCCCAGGGCCTGATGGCAGGTTAAGGCGGGCCTGGTTGCAAGGTGAAATGTTATGAAATGAGTGACTGATACTATCAATATGACTAAACTGTGACCGACCCGATGAAGAGATGACTTAGAGATGGTGATTCAAACATAAAAGTCTCCATTGATTTGATGAAGATAATTGTGAACCGACCACTCTGTGTTAAAGTCGGCAGGAGAGGGAGTTAGCTGTTAGCTGATAGCTGTTAGCAACCAGTGGGCAGGTCAGTACTAAATACGGGGCTAACAGCTAACATTAGCAGAGCATTGAGTTACATTGTGATGGGTTAAAGGTCTATTCATTCAAACTAGTATTGGCAAAATGTGAGTTTCCTGCTCAAGTTTTTTTTAACCCCATCTTGTTCCGAGTCCTAGTGGTAACTTCTTTCTGCACTCTGTAACCGTGATTATAAAAAAAAACATATTTTCGAATGTTCTGTGTCCATGCACAAATTGAAAATGTGCATAAATAGAGGTGAACAAACAGGTGATCCGGCCTGGGTAAACCTGCCCCCCTGATTGAACTTCTACTGGCACTGCTCTCAGGGTGTCAGAAGCACACAAGGGAGGACACCAAAATAACTACAGTGTACAGAAGAATGTATGGCTCTAAGATTGCCTTATCTAACCCAGTGACGATAAAAAAACATCCTTCAGTCTGATCCTAGCTTCCTAAAGTGTGTAAACTGGTTACAATGAGTGGGACTTACATCTTTGTCCTCCCAGCAGGTATCACAATCGGAGGAGCGGGACAGTTGGTGAAGGTACCCATCTGGTGTTTTGGTGACGTTGCAGGTTAGCTCTGGTGGAGCATCTGCTGCAGCTGCAAGCATCACTGCAAGAGCTGAGAATGCTGAAAATAAGAAAAATGGAAGTTATTAAAAAACTAAATTCAGACATTACAATGTTAACTCATTTCTTACAGGAATGTCATGAACATTATTGTTGTTATACATTATTAAGGTATTGTAATGCAGATGCAATGCTATTATTAGCAAGCTAACATGCTAACTAGTAACTCTGTTGTCAAGTCATACCTGTGCAAGTACACAATGAGGATGTATGGTATGTACAATGTTCTTTCTCTGGGGCCAGTGATGCTATATTCAACACTTGCAGTCAACACATAAATGTCCATTTTTACTTCATACTTATTTAATTTTCTGGACTGCTAATGTGTTCTATAGGTTTTTTGTGCATGTAAATGGTCTGCAAAGGCTAAATTCCCCAAAGTTCCCTCCATAGGGAGTTTCTCTCCCACACACTCCCCCTACCTGAAACACCTCCATTGGACTCCTTTGTTTATTTCCATAACGTAGTGACATCACAATGTAACACTATTTTCAAGCGCTCCAACACATTGTACGTGATAGGCTATGTGGCGGGACATCTCTAAGACCAATCACAACAGAGCTGGCCAGCTAACCAATCAGAGCAGACTGGGCTCTGGTTTCAGACAGAGGGTGAAAAGAGGTGCTGCAGCACAGGCAGTATGAGAACAAGAAAGAGCTTTTTGAACATTAAAGCATGGAGACATGTCACAGTAGAGAAACAAAATACTATTATGAACCTGAAAATTAGCAGAACAGGGCTTAAAGGCATAAAGACAGACACATTTGGATTGGCCACGACGCAAGCTGAGGCTTAAATTCTGAATATCAAGAAAAAGGAAGTCTGCAGTAAAGGAGGAACTGAGATGACAGGAGCTGATTAAGAGGTGAGTCAACCTGCTTATCAGAGCACATGTTTAATAGTTTGAGTTAGTTTTATAATATAAATACAGATTAGCTGCACGTACAGTATGAATGAACAGCAACTAAACAGAGCTAAGTGAAGCGGGAAAGTGTTTTGGTAAGCTTTGGTTTTTCAAAGATAAACTGTAGATTAGATTCAGATTAGTTGATCATAGAGCTGTCACGCTATTTAAAGTTAAACATGATATTTATTATCATATGCACAACAATTACAGAGTAGCTGTCTTCAGGAATTAACGTGTCCTCACAGCCTCCCTCTATCAATCACACAAAGAAAAACAAGAAAGAAAACATGCAGGTGAAAAATGAGAATCCATGACACAAAATAGTGCAGGAGTACAAATAAAACACTAATAAGATATGTAAATAAAAACTATAGTTTTGTGTTAGGGAGAGTTTAATTCTTGAAAAGTGGAAGACTTTAATCTAAAGTTTCTAAAGTGTAGTATTTTTTTAGAATAACTTGATTTCAATTGAGTAGTTACTGTTTTCACAACCTGATTTTAACTTCCTGTTACTCATTTATTGACTGTCGTGCCTCTCAAGACTTTTACATTTTAACATTATTTATTCAGGCACATTTTCATTGTCTTTGTACTTGCGTAAAGAATGAATCTATCTTGTCCACATCATCGACTGTATTCCAGTTAACCATTATTACACTACATTTAACTAAGTTCATTCATACTTTACCACTCGGACAATATTTGCAAAGCCACCTACTGTTATTCAGTAAATACATATCAGCGTAACACACTGTGTTATGGCTGTTACCATGGAAACACTACTGCCTTGAGGCTCAGGTTACACAAGTTGCAACATAAACAGAACATATTTTTGACCCATCATCAGGACTTTGCCTGAGCAGCGGACAATTTGCCTTAGATCCAGACACATGTATGTGGCGAGGAGGAAATGAAAAGACACTTTAACATGCCCCACCCTGGAAACAACAACGGGGTCAGCCTGTTCGTCTCATATTTGAGAGACACACTCACTCAGGAAAAGGTTAACAAAACAAACTCATTTGACACTGACAATGATTCTATTAAAACAAGTATAATGTGTGTATCAAAGCCAACACTATTTTAAACAGATTAATGAGTCACATTGCTGCACTGGATGACATGTTCCTTATCACATGCGCACGCGCACACACACACACACACACACACACACACACACACACCACACACACACACACACACACACACACACACACACACACACACACACACACACACACACACACACACACACACACACACACACACACACACACACACACACACACACACACACACACACACACACACACACACACACACACACACACACACACACACACACACACACACACACACACACACACACACACACACAAACACTGTACTTTCTTTGACTGCCGGATATACTTTTTAGTTTACCACATTGTTGTTGATTGTTCAGCCGTTGGAAATGTTCCCAACAAAGACGTTATTTCCTCCTGTTTTTTTGTTACGCAAATTACTGTGCCTTCTTAAACATGAATATGAATATTTTATTTTTTAAAAGTCAAATATTATTCAAAATGCACTTTTTCATGTTTTTTACACATACATATGAGTCCCCACACACTCACTAGGAACCGATGGTGAGCTGAGAGACAAACACAGGGTAGAAGTTGATTACTAAGCGGGCATAGACGCTGTTTGAAGTAACTGTTTTTTAAGTCAATCACATGACCACAAAGACGACAAACACCCCCAGAAACACATCTAAAACAGAGAGTGATGACCACAAAGTAACTCAAAAAGCAGGGTTCTTATCATGTCTGTGCCAATGACTCTTTGAGGTTGAGTTTAGGCTTTCCAACCAGCTAAGAGAGAAAGGTTGTTTGAGTAGAATAAGTCAGTAAGCTCAGCATGTACAGTATGTTGATGAGAGATACCATTTTGCACAGCATTTGGAATTAGCATTTAGCAAAGGAAGCAAACAACTCGCTGACTTGAAGAGTCCTTAAACGTTTCCCAGAAATGAATCACTTCCTGAACCAAGTAGAGCCCTCACATGTCGGGGAGGAGTCTCCACATTTCCTCCTCCTCTAACTCAAGCAGCCTTGCTTGACCACATCAAACTTCGAAGTATGGGGTCTGTGACCCTATGTCAAACAGCAATCTGTGACACCTTGATGAGTCATTTAGGACTTGAAGAGTCTGATAACGACGTAGATTCATGGATTGTTTGCTTTATACTTTGATTCCACTTTAACAAGATGATAAACGTTGGCGGCGTGTCTATAATTCTTGTGTGTTCAGCATTATACAGACAGATTACCTAGGGTGTACAAATGAAAAGGTAACACGCTGTAGCTTTCACCTCTAAAGCAGAATAAGATTAATATGAAGTCTATTCAAATGAATCATGGTTAACTCTCACTATAATCTACAGAGGCGGGACGGATTTTCTTTTCTCTATGCCACACTGCCTCACATACTGTAAACACATGCTCAAAGACCGCTTTACCACAGTTAACAAGACAATTAAACAGTAAATCTCACAAAAAAGGGAAAAGTAAATACTAATCTAAAGCATGAACCAATAAAAACCCTCCAAATCAGATGTCTTTGTTTGCCAGCATTTGTTTAAAATGAAAAGTATTTCACATCATTTATTAGAAGTTCCTGTTTGCAGTGTATCCATGGAAGTATGGAGTTGGAGTACTTTGAGACATGTATCCGTTATGCAGTGTCTTCTCCCATGATTCCTAAGTGTATCTATAGACATTTATTTAAATTACAGATGTTGATGTGCTTGACATAAAGCATGTTAAATTAAATGCATCATGTCGTTGTGTCCAGATTTGATCAACCTTTGACGGAAGCCAAATGTAGCATTCAAACTACAATCTTCCTTTTTTAAAGCACCAACATGATGCTTATCTGAAATGTAACTCCTCCTTGTGTCTTGTCCTGTCTTACTTCCTGTGCCTGATGTCTTGTCTTGTGATTAGTCTTTTGTCTATTAGTCTTGTTTTCCCTAGTGTACTCTGTCGGTTTGTTGTCGTTGTTCCCTTCGTTGTTACTGTTGGTTTACCCTGAGCTCTTATACCTTGTGTTCCTTATTTTGTCCCCCGTGCTCCCTGGTTTTCTACATGATTAGTTTTTAATTGATTATCATCTTCTTGTTAATAAAAGCTTATTTATTGTTAAATCTATCTGCCAGCTCATTTTTAACTGCACTAGCACTCTTGTCCAGTCTGCAGGTGGAAAGTACCCACAAGAGGCCACTCCTTTTCCAGGAACATCCATCCATTTCAAGGAATCTCTGATACACTTTTCATTCTGTTTCTTGCAACGCTTCACCAACAATGCACCTGTTACACCACATATCAGACTGCCTTTTTAGGTCTAACAAACATGTAATGTACACACTATCAAGAACATACTACATACATCATGTTACTAAACTGGAATATTGAGGTTTATAATAATGTATGAATTATGTAAATGACTCATGAACAAATCAAAAAGCATCTTCGTATGATACTTAGTGTCTTATAGCATGTTGGATAGTTTGGATATTATAAGTTGCTGCTGCAGATGGAAACCCCCATTGCAGAAAACATCACTCAATATCGAGTTTTTGTTCTTACACGGCCCCTTATTTTTATTTACCTTATTTTCTGTAGCCTATTATTACTTTGTTTTAACTTTTCACCCACCGATAGTTTCTTTTTACACAAACAACTGCAATGTCTTTTCATTTATATGTCTTGAATGTGATTTGATTAATGCAACTAAAATAGATTTGTATTATTTTTTTCAGGTTTACATTTGATGACATTCCTGAAGTGTCATTTACAGCCGACTCATACATCAGTAGAGTTTGGTTTCACCTCTTTAGCACTGTAATCTAGATGCGTAAAAACAACTTTTTCAACTTACCGACTGCAAGAAGCCCACATGTGATGTTAGTCATTTTGAAGTTCATGTTGTCGGCGGAAAGTATGTAGTGTGGCGGCGCTGGTTGAATTAAGGTCGACTTCCGCAAATTGAGATAGGCTATATAGGCTACGTGAGGGCGGAAACTTCTGGAAAAGGGAAACGAAAAGTAGAGAGACACGGGGAGGGCTGAACAACAAGATGACGTAGCGATACATGATATTACGAAAGTGTAAGTGACGTGTGTAAAGTAAATGTGTATGGTGCGTCCAGAGGTTTTCAAACTGTGGGGCGCGCCCCCCCTGTGGGGGGAGCAGAGGTACTGCAGCGTGGGAAGAAGTTGTAAACAAACACTGGTTGCTCGAAAAATCACAAAATAAGTTTTTAACAAACCCGACAGTTAAAAGAAAAGCGGACGAGGTTGTTGATGTTTGATGTTTACAGAGAGAACAGCTATGAGGTCTGTGCAGAAAGCAGAGCAGTAGCCTATATATCACTCGGTATAACAGGCCTACTCTCTGTATTTGCTTTAGTTTAGTAGATATCTACAAACAAAGAGTCGATATTTTTAAAAACCATTTAGTGCTTCACATAGGCTAATAAAATACACAACGGCTGTAGCCTGATTATATGCTTTAGGAGCTGTAGGTAGTGATGTTACGTATTGCGCCGAGGCTTCGGAGCGTGTGTCGAGCATAGGTGTCGAGTAATCCCCGAAGCTTTTTGTGAACCTTGGCCCTTTCTAATTTCTCTAACTCCCCTCCTCGACTCCTATCCTCGATACTTAGTCCCGCCCACAGGAGATGCGAGCGGAGGAGGGGAACCGAGGAGAGAGGAGGGGAAGCAGCAGGCAGTTAGAGAAATGAGAACTCCTCTCCTCTGAGCGGTCATTTTAAAGAGACGTCCATTAATGATGACAGGAGGCACAGCAGCCCTCTGTCTGATGGACAGATGTGTTCATGACGACTTATATATTTACTTTGATTCATTCACAGTGCGGTATAATGAGACAATAACAGGCTACACACACACACACACACACACACACACACACACACACACACACACACACACACACACACACACACACACACACACACACACACACACACACACACAGGGCCGGCCCTGACCAATTTGCCGCCCTAGGCAAGATTTTAGCTGGCGCCCCCCCCCCCGGTAGTGGCATGACCACCAAAACAGAAAGATGCCCCCGGGAAGACTTTTTTTTTAAATATTGAAGTTAAAAGCATCAATCTGGTGCACTTTGAGAGCAACATGAAGAGATCTATGGATACATCTCTCAACACCCATATGAAACAGAACTGTAAACAGATTTTCTTTTTCTTTATGGATATTTTACAAATCACTCCCCTTTCAAACTGTATTCTTGTTTATTAATAACAACTTTTTTGTACTGTCAGTATTTTATATCTGTTTTTCATCTATTCTCTTATTTTTTTATAACTATAATGATCATATAGAGGTGTGCCTTTACCTCACTGAGCTGAGGTTATCAGAGCCTCTCAGTCTTTCAGGAGAGAGCTCTCTAAAGCTCTCACCCCCGCGGCCGCTTACAATGTAAATTCCAATGTTAATAAAAGCACACAGAAGCTGTGTATGTTTTTTGGGAGTTTGATTTATTTTAAATGAATACAAATACAAATACAAAATAAATTAAAACCTATAATTGCACACTAAAACCATTATTTAAAAAAAAGAACAATTTCACATAAACCTTTTTACTGGGACTGGGGCAGTTCAACTTGATTTTGGGGGGGTGTGCCATAGTTTATGGGCGCTGTACGCGTAGTTCTGTTAGTATAAGATAATAAGATGTACTTTGTTGATCCAAAATTGGGAAATTGTGTATTATGAAAAAAAAAAAAAAAATCTTTTTTTTTTCTAACTTTTTTTTTTTTTTTTCCGGCGCCCCCTATGGGTTGATGCCCTTAGCATTCGCCTATACTGCCTATGCCGAGGGCCGGCCCTGCGCACACACACACACACACACATACACACACACACACACACACACACACACACACACACACACACACACACACACACACACACACACACCCCCTCTCTGGTCGCTACAATGAGGAATATAAATTACGGGCCAAAAGTTTTATTTACAAGTATTAAAAGTAAGCAGAGGACACCAAACCAACTGAGACCTGTCTGTCCGCTGCAGCTACGCACACACTGTACCACACAAACCTACACCACACACACGCACATACAGTTCCTAAAACAGGCTACAGCCGTTGTGTATTTTATTATGTGAAGCACTAATGGTTTTAGAAAAATATCGACTCTTTGTAGATATACTAAACTAAAGCAAATAAAAAGAGTAGGCCTGTTATACTGAGTGATATATATTATACACACTGCTCTGCTTTCTGCACGGACCTCACAGCTGTTCTCTCTGTAAACATCGCGTCGCGATGAAAGCAGTTAATAAAATAATATCCAGGGGATGCATGCAGAGCTGTCATTGGCTGAGATAAATCCGGCCGTGCGTCACGACTCTTTGAAACATCTCTGTTCCCGGAAATGCATCCACAAAGGAGCCGTGGAGGACCGTGGAGGACCCATCAGTGTATCCTCGGATAGAGCTCCTCCAGACAGCCTCCTCGACGCTCGATCCTCGGTCCTCGAAGTGCATTTAGAGAAATGAGATGTCCTTCAACATGGCGCGCTGAAATTCATTTCCGGGTCACTACCGGAGGACCGAGGAGTCGAGGAGGGGGATTTGATGAAATGAGAAAGGGCCCTTGTATCGAGGCTTGTATCGTTTTGGGCCAGTGACGTCATCGATGACAAACGAAGCCTCGCTGCCTGTCGATACCACGTGACTGCTTCACGAAGCCATTCAGATCGGTTGGTTGAACCACAATGCTGATTGATTGATTGATTGATTGAAAAGTTTATTAACAGCTTGTATATTGGGTACAGTACAGTACAGCTCAAAACATACAATTGTTAAGGGGATGCAGACCAGAGAAAGACTTTCGTCTTGTTTACATCAGGGTCCCCCATTTCCAATTCATCATATTACCCATGGATGTATAATAAGAACAATATAACCCCTCCTGTACCCGGGCCCGGTGACACGATGGAATTAAGAGAGCTCAGACCCTCACTTATATAGAGGTCGGAACATGTCAAGTATCAATGAATAAAAGCATAAATAAAAGTAGGAATAAAAACATGAATGAATAAATACAGGAATAAATATGGTCCAGTGTTGTCAGGGAAATTTAGTGTGTGTGCTGTGGCTCAGCTGGAAAGCAGTTGACTCATACCGCAGGGTCCCTGGTTCAAAGACTGAACAATACTTATTTTTTGTTGTTTATAAAAGCTACAGCTAAATGAGATAATGTAGTTAATAAATGTATTCTTTGATATGGTGTCGCCTTTCTCAGGCTACAACATGGTTAAGTTTATGAATATTATTAAGGAATACAAATCCCTCTTTGCAATGTTTACCAGCCTCTTTAGGATTTTCAATCACAATCATTCAACTGGAATAAAAACAATATTGTTAACATGAAAATATGATTTAATGTTCGTTGTTTAGAGTTATTCTAAGGCTTTACTAATTGGGAACTCGGTATGAGATAGAGCACACTGTTGAGATGTCCAATCTGCCTGTTTTACACACTTTGACCAACAGGGGGTTTGTGTTCAAATGGTTCAAATGAAGCCCATGATGAAGCCTCATGAGATGAACCCTTTTGCGAACCAATTGGCTGGAAAGCTTCAAAGCTTCATAAGGCTTCATCTCGCCATCACTAGCTGTAGGTGCGTGTGGTAGCCTACAGTGTGTAGGTGTGTGTGTGTTGTACCAACACGTTCTCACTCCCATCCCGTCACATATTGACGGATGGTCAGGGCCCCTCCCCGTCACTCTATTACGTACAGGGTACCCCTTGGAAGTCAGGCTTCTACGGGCAGGGCGTACCATAGAACTTCATTGCGGACAGCGGACCCCTTGACCGTCAGGCTTCTACGGGCAGGGTATGGAGTCAGATTCGGGTCAATATTGTTGCGCGTAAAACAAGCTACTCACGAGCGGAAAATGTGCTTTTACACGCGCATAAAATAACCCTCGCGCGCAGATTAAACCCCCGCGAGCGGCTCTGCGCCCGCGAGCGGCTCTGCGCTCGCTCGCGAGAGAGACAGCCCTCTTGCTTGCTCACGGGAGTGTCAGCCTCGCGGAGTCTGTCTACGCGCGCGTGAAAAGTTTCTGGCACTTTGGGGCGGAGCCACTGGACTTTGATTGACAGCTGCCAGGAAACCCGGGGTTGCCAGGTTTGATAAATGCCTGAACTACCAAGAGCCGAGCAGTGACGGCAGCAAAATCTAGGTGCGTACAGCAGACAGTAGCTAGCAATTTTCGACGGACACAGCCCACTGAAAAATATATTGTTTTATATCAAATTAATGTATATCACATTACATTACATTGCATTTAGCTGACGCTTGTATCCAAAGCGACTTACAATAAGTACATTCGACCAGGAAGACACAACCTTGAAGAAAACAGAATCATATATATATATATATATATATTAGCTTTACACTTTACGAATATAATAGTTTTTTATGGACAACTTTACCATTCAATCTCGTCCAACTGATTTTGCTGCTGTCACTGCTCGGCTCTTGGCAGTTCAGGCATTTATCAAACCTGGCAACCCCGGGTTTCCTGCCAGCTGTCAATCAAAGTCCAGTGGCTCCGCCCCAAAGTGCCAGAAACTTTTCACGCGCGCGTAGACAGACTCCGCGAGGCTGACACTCCCGCGAGCAAGCAAGAGGGCTGTCTCTCTCGCGAGCGAGCGCAGAGCCGCTCGCGGGCGCAGAGCCGCTCGCGGGGGTTTAATCTGCGCGCGAGGGTCATTTTATGCGCGTGTAAAAGCACATTTTCCGCTCGTGAGTAGCTTGTTTTACGCGCGAGAATATTGACCCAAATCTGACTCCATACAGGGCGTCCCATAGACCTTCATAGACCACGTGATCAACAACAATGGCCGACCTTCGTGTTATTCTCGGTGGAAAATGCCTATTTTAAAGATCAAATGCAAAGCTTCCAAATATGCTACATTTTTATAGAAATTTTGTTTTTAAGACTGCCTGTATTTTTTATTTTATTTAAATCGAGATAATACACCCAAAAAAAAGCTTTTTATTGATCCAAAACTCGACCCAAAGCCGTCTGAATTTCTGACATGTAATTCCCAGCAGCCTCCGCGCGCGTGACGTAATAGTGGCCAAACAGTCTCTGGACCAAATATCCCAACTCGGCAGTCTCGGTCACATGTTTTTCGAAAAGAAAACTGAATTAACATGGGTTATTGTTGAGCTTTTTGTTGTACGAACGGTGCGGGATCTGGGAGAGTTTTACATGCATTTCCCAAAGACCAAATCATCCGCAAAAAATGGATTTTTTTAGTGAATCGTGTTGGATGGCAACCGACAAAATGGAGCAAGTTGTGTTCTGACCACTTTGCGTGTGATGCATACGACGT